AAAAAAACAGATAANTGCCAACGCTCAATAAAAAGATTGAACTAGGAACTCTAATTTTTAAAAATTTGTAAACGTCAAGAAAAACAAAAATATAAATAGACAAAAACGGGCGGCGTCGCGCTCATTGAACGAGTAACCGTGGGTTGAATTTTTTCATCCGTGAATTTTTTCATCCCTGGCGCTGCGCGCTCGGGATTTTAATCTGCAAAAATATCCGATAATTTTGGAGGTCTCGTGGTATTACTACTGATTATTTTTCTCACTCAGATTTCAGCCAATCAGAGCGCAGTATTTGAGGCTGTCAAACAGTTTTATTTCGGAAATGTGTAAAAATAATTCCGAAGGAAATTCACTAGTAGCTTTTCAAATGTTTCTCATCTTTCAACGCATTTCATGTTTAATATTCTGTCTGACAGATAAACAAAAAAGTCCGTTATAAATGTATGACTGTGTAAATGTATCCGGGTGCGGTTCACTGCCCTCTGCTTGGCCGATATCCGAGTAGAAAAATAATCCGTCAAATACCACTCGTGCTCCAAAATTAATCGGATATTTTGAAGCACTAGTGGTATTACTACTGAAAATAGGATTTTTGATTATCAATGAGTTCTCAATAGATTCAAAAAAATTGAGAGTTGGATTCTTGATTTTCAATTAACTCTCAATTCACTAAGAGTAGATTGAAAGACAATTGAGAATCAAAAATCCAACTCTCAACTCTCAAAAAAGTTGAGGGTGCATTCAGAGATACTTGAGAATCAAAATTCAAAAATCAAATTTTCAATCCCGATAGTAAAGTTGATAGTAAAGAGGCCGACTGGCATAGAATGCATTTTACGCCTCGTCACTTCAACTTTCAAATAACCCTGAATTTTCTCTCAAAAACCAGAAATTATCCAGAGTCCAACTCTCAACTTGGTCCGGAAGAGCCAAGTTTCTGAGAGCGTTCCAGAAAATTCTCCGGTTTTCGAGAAATTCCGTCGATTTAAAAAAAAAATCGAAAAAATTCTCCAGTTTTCTAAAAACTTTGAATTAATGTTCCAGTTTTGTAAACAAAATCGAGAAAATTATTGAGTTTTTGGGAACGTTCTAGAAAATTCTACGATTTTCTAAAAAAATTCAAGAAAATTCAAGGTAATTCTCCGATTTTCTACTAAATTGCATGAGGTTCGCCGATTTTCTCATAAGTTCGGAAGAATTCTACGGTTATCTAGGAAATTCGATGAAATTCATCGATTTTCTAATCAATTCGGATGAATCCTCCGGTTTTCTAGAGAATTCGACAAACTTCTCCGTTTTTCGAGAAAATTCTCCAGTTTATTAAAGAATTTGCGAAAATTCTGCGTTTTTATAAAAAATTGGAGAAAATTATCCAGTTTTCTGAAAACTTTGAAAAAATTCTCCGGTTTGCGTTTGAAAAAAGAATTTTTGATTTTCAATTATCTCTCAATCTACTTTCATCGTTTTTGAGAACTGAGAATTTGATTGTTTTGTTTGTGAAAATAGCATTGTTGATTCTCAATGATTCTGAATTAGAGATGCAAAATGACAGTCATTTTTGAGATCGCGTCATGTGACCAAAAAAGGACGGTCATGTGACGCACGAATTTCATAACCACAAATGATCGCCACAAATAATTTGTAAGCAAATTGTTGTCAAACCATCTATATGGATACATAATGACGGTCAAACTCATTTCTAATTTGTGATTGTCATAAATAACATAGTTTCATCTCTAGATAGATGGAAAATGACCATAATTTTGATTTAAAAATGCACATTAGGCTAACGCAAAATGAATTCAAAGAAAAATTGATAGTAAAACAATGAGCTCGCATCTGTATAGATAAAAAATGACTGTCATTTTTTCTTGACCAATTGTGACGGTCATAGAAGGGTGGGAAAATTGTGACAGTTGTGGAAAACGTCTCGTCATATGACCGTCAATGACAGGTCATGTAATGCATTCCCAGCTCTATCTGCATCTTATTTTAAAAAAAAAGAATTCTCAACTCTGTGGAAAAGTTGAGTGTAAATTGAAAGGCAATTGATGATCAAAAATTCAATTTCCAAAATGCAAATCTGAAAATAAATTGAGAGATAATTGAGAATCAAAAATCCCATTGCCAAAAAAAAAATCCAGTTCTCAACTCTCAGAAAAATTGGAGATTAGATTGCGAGATTATTCAGAATCAATAATCCAATTTTCAACTCTAAAAAAAAGTTGAGAGTAGATTGAGAGATAATTGAGAATCAAAAATTCAACTCTCAACTTGCGAATTGAGAGTTTTTGTGAATTGAGAGTTAGATTTTTTGTTTTTGAAAATCGGATTTTTGATTAGAGAATCGGCGAATTTTCTCTAAAATTTTCTATAGTGGAGCTTTTCCCGAAATTTAGCGCAAACACGGTGAGTTTCACTTGTTTTGTTGTTTTTGTCAATTATCATTATTATTATTATTATTAGTGTTATTATTATTGTTATGGCTGAAGGAAAGTGCAATACAGTGTGTTGCTCCATTTCCACGAGTGGGAGTGAGATGCAGGAATGCTTGGTACCCGTGGGCCCTCATTGGGTTACACCCCTGAGCTATCCGCTCGACAATTCTCATTTCCATACGCCGAGTTTCGGGGGTTTCAGTGGCCCCATCTGGCACATTTTCCTATAACTGTGCGAGACAGTATGGCGACAGCTGATCGCCTCAATTCCGATTTCACTGATTGTGAGAGTTAGCGGCGTCTAATCCCTTCGGGACAACTCCCGAAAAATAGTCAAAAGTAGTTCTTTTAACGAGAATTAGTTCGCGAGAGTGTCTAGTGTGTGTGAAAATTGGAATAAGTGTTTATAACTTTGGATATTTACCGTCGCCATATTGACAGGGTGTCACGCGAGTGTGGTGTGACTAGGGGAGATGGTGGTGTTTATTTTGCGTTATTTTCTAGTCAATATTAAAAATATAAAAACCTATTTCCCCCCTTCAAGGCACCATTTCCGTTAAGAGGCAATAAATTATCTGTTTTTTCAAAAAAAAATCAGATTTTTTTATGTAACCATACGGTCGTAATTAGTGGAAACGGAAAATGGTTTTTTTTTACAAGTTTCTGGGGAATTTTCTAGGGACATGTCGGGCAAAAATCCATCCAACCGGGCCTTAATGACGCAGAAAATTCCTACTGGGCCTCAAATTAAAGCATATGATTCATTGATGCTATTGACTCATCCTGGGACCCACGGGCGCCATCTTGGATTGGGTCTTATTGATCGATAAATCTAGGGTCATTAAAGAATATTGCAGAAATTTCCTACTGGGCCTTAAATGAAAGAATATGATTCAGTGATGCTATTGACTTATCCTGGGACCCACGGGTGCCATCTTAGATTGGGTCTTATTGATCGATGAAAATCAGGTCGTTAGATAATGGTGCAGAAAATTCCTACTGGGCCTCAAATCAAAGCACATGATTCATTGATGCTATTGACTCATCCTGAGACCTGGGACGCCATCTTGGATTGGGTCATACGGATAGATGACGCTTGGGTAATGTGTTAATGAAGCAGGAAATTTCTACTGGGCCTTAAATTGAAGCACATGATTCATTGATGCTACTGAGTCATCCTGGGACCCACGGGCGCCATCTTGGATTGGGTCTTATTGATCGATGAAGATCAGATCGTTAGATAATTGTGCAGAAAATTCCTACTGGGCCTCACATCAAAGCACATGATTGATTGATGCTATTGACTCATCTTGAGACCTGGAGACGCCATCTTGGATTGGGTCATACCGATAGATGACGCTTGGGTCATGTGTTAATGAAGCAGAAAATTCCTACTGGGCCTCAAATTAAAGCACGTGATTCATTGATGCTATTGACTTATCCTGGGACCCACGGGTGCCATCTTGGATTGGGTCTTGTTGATCAATGAAACTCAGGTCGTTAGATGATGGTGCAGAAAATTCCTACTGGGCCTCAAATTAAAGTACATGATTCATTGATGCTATTGACTTATCCTGGGACCGACGTGTGACATCTTGGATTGGGTCTTATTGATCGATAAAGCTAGGGTCATTGACAAATAGTGCGGAAATTTCCTACTGGGCCTTACATCAAAGCACATGATTCATCGAAGCCTTTTGCAGATCCTTGGGTCCGTGGGACCCCCCTTTTGTCTATCGTCACTAGACCATTTGTGAAGTCTTCGGAAATGCGCGGGAAATTCGGGAAAATCGATTAATTTTTCTGCAGAAAATTAGCACGTAATTAGTACTCCTCGCTAGTATGAAAATTATGCCAATCTGATGACATTGGTCTGCTAGATAAATGGCCCAAACTAAAAAATCAAATTTTCGGCGAAAATTTTGCAGCAGAAAATTTTCTATGGGCTTCAAATTGGAGCACATGATTCATCGAAACTTTTTATACATCATTGGGTCTGTGGGACCCGCCATTTATCTGTCAGCACTATACGAATTTTCAGGGTCCTGGGAAATTCGCGGAAGATTCGGGAAAAATCGAGTAATTTTTCCGCAGAAAATTAGCACATAATTAGTACTTCACGCTACTATGAAAATTATGCCAATCCGATGACACTGGTCTGCTAGATAAATGGCCCAAACTCAAAAATCAAATTTTCGGCGAAAATTTTGGAATAGAAAGTATAATTTTTTCAGCAGAAAAAAGCACACAAAAAGCACGTAATTTGAGTTTTTCACCAACCCGATCCAATGACCCTGGTCTGCTAACTTTTTGGAGCTAAGTGAGTCTTATGATTTCCCATCCATCAGGATTTATGGACTCTAAGTGATATCGAACCCGCATTGGAGCCAGTTACAGAGAGACACCGCACTGAGATGTAAATTTATGCATGCGAAACAAATTTGTTTCAGGCAAATAAATAAATGTCTGCACAAAATCGTCGTTTAAACTCTTCTCTCAAAAAAATTTATATGGCATAACTAAATGTTTTTCTTTCCGGTTTTTTTTCAAAGCTACTCTTACTTTTGCTAAGACCCATGATGTCTGGACCAAAGACGTGACCCCCTCGAAGAATTGCAGAGCCACTTGACCACTTCACAATTGCCTCTTGTGCCTTCACGTTAATTTCCTTGTTCTCCACACCCTCTGAGCTTTCTTTATTGAAGACCATTATCAATTCGGGTACTTTTGGAAATGTAGTGAATTGATATAGCTCTGATCGCTATTAAAAAGAGAAAAAAATCGTTCAGTGCGATAATATTTGGCTGCGCATATATTTCTATGTTCATGTACTATCCAGCCCAAATAATGGAAGGGTGGAGCAAAATGAACATTTTTGACTTATAATTTAGAAAAAAATTGATCAATTCAACTCCGCTCAGACTCGTCACAGAGAAAAAAAATGGTACTTAAAAAATCATTCCATCAAAAATTCAATAAGTAATGAATATTAAAAAAACAAGTTCAAAGGGTTCATTTGGTCCCACTTTTATTCCCAGTCAATTTGAAGCGTATTGTTTGATGAATTCTATTCTATAGCGTAATTTTATTCAATCGATTTTTTTCTTACCGGATCCGTAGCCTTGATCAGATCAATAACTTTGTCAGCTCTCCTTTGAAGAGTATTTACTCTGAATACTTGGTCCTTTGGTGATTCTCCCAGCCAGCTAATCATTTCATCATACTTTGCCTGAAAGAATTTTAGAAAATTGAATATCGAGATGGTTTTTCCACTTATGTTTATATTAGTATAATACCTGAACTGTTTTTTCATCTATTTTCCTCACAGCTTTCTTATCTTTCTTCCTGCCTTCCACAACTCCATCGACCAGAATTATTCGAAAGTTACTTTTCAAAGCATGTTCAATCTCTTCAGGATACTTGAAAAACGGTTTCCCTGGTGCACTCGCCATATTCATTCTTGGTTCTAAAGCGAAAAAATTGACAATAAAGCTATAATGATAAGGATGAATCTCAAACATGGAAAATTGGAAGTGGAAACACGTTAGAAAGTAGGATGGACGATGAACCCCTGAATAATCATAAATATTTGATTGTCACAAAAAAATACCAAATAATTGGATCTTACTTGGGAAAAAATGAATATCAACGCACTTTTTCTCTTCTTAGTTAGCATATTTTTTTGTGTAAGAGGAAATTCCCTTAGCTATTAAATGAGAGTATTTGTATTGTTTCATGATTGTGCAGGCTCATCGATAATTTGTCAAGAAACAACATAAGTGTTTCAGCTCTTCCCTTCTCCTAACCTTCTATCTTTTCGTTAACTAACTATTATACCTCCGTCCAAAGAAAAAACAATTTTCCAAAATTCGAAATCGATACTGCATGTCGCAAAAAGTAACTCAAATCCTACTGAGAATAATATTTAAACCTGAACGCCTAGTGGTTAAAAATATTTTCTGCCAAAATCGCGTCAGTATAGCGAAAGAAAGAAAGAAGGGAACCCCCCCCCTCCAACAAACCTGGTTTTAATTAACCCTTCAATCTCCTTGGATTAAGACCGATGGCATCAAAATAAATAATAAATAATTACTTTGATGAATGAAACACTAATCGAGAAGAATGTAACCGAAATAAATTGGTTATGGTGGTGAGTCCTATCACCAAAATGGATTCGCGATAGTGATGCCAAATGCAGTGATGCCAGATGTGAGTCCCACTGGTCCCCACTAGAGATCAGAGATTATAAGGTAGATCTCCCACGGCAATGTAAAAGTTTCGACTGGATTTTTTCGTAGCGGTGGCGCATGAACTAAATGCGAGTACACTTTTGTTGGTAAAACAGGCAGCTATACTATTGTCGGTATTCCCCTACTGAGTGAGAATGGAATATGTATCGCGCTCGTTCTCACTCATTCTCATCTCCGTCGCGTTGTACACGTGCCCGTCCTCCACCAAACTTAACGAGTGCGAGTGAGAAAGAAAATGGAGAAGAAGGAGAGAGAAAACATTCCAACTCATTTGAACGATCTACACATAATGGGATTAATTCAATAATAATAGATTAATGAATAAGATTTTTCGCAGATTATTGCGAGATTTAGATGAATGGTTTGCCTCCTCGAGATTTGAATTCGGGGAATAATCATAATAATAATTTTGAAAAATAGTGATAATTATTACTATCATTATTAACAATTATTCGTTCGTTAGTAGCGAACGTTATTAACCGTTATTATATGGTCTCCATAATATAATTGAGTATATAATATAATAATAATATAACCTCATAGTGATAATGATAATAATAATAACACTTATTAAATAATATTATATTGGTTCTGATTATTAACTCCACGAATTAGTTGAATGCATAAATGAATCCAACGTGGAGCGCAAAAAATAATGCAGTGAAATTGATATAGTTGATTTTTATTTGTAACTATATGAATCGTGCGATAGTCTAGTGGTTAGGTCGTAGGGTCAGTATGCGAAGGGGTCAAAGTTCAAACCCAACCATAGGTAGGCGGAATATGTCATGTTAACAAAATCGGCTTTTTCAGGCGTTATTGAGAATAGGAAAAATGAGTGTAAGATGCGTTCATTTCTTTTTTTGGTATCATTAGTAATAACAGAAATATTTGTACAAAATACAATTGAAAAAAAATCGCAAAAAATATTGGCCCTTTTTAGGCTGTTTAAACCGTATTAGAAATATCAACAAAATCGTAGTTTTAAAAGCGCGAAGCACGACCAATAATTGGCGAAATCATCCATATATGAAATTTATTAATTTACCATACCAAATTTCCGTTTTTCTGGTCATTTTATATAAATAGGCTAATTTGTTATTTTAAAAATTTCTAAATTAACGGTCTTAGATTCGAATTTCAAGAAGCTCTTAATTGGTATTCTGCACATTTTTTTTTTAATTGATGAAAAAAAAATTGAAGCTCAAAAATTGGAAGTCTGCTACACTTTTCAAGATTTTAGGCATTTGTGGGCTAAATTAACTAGGAAAAACGTTAGAAAAATGCATGGAATACCTAAATATAATATCATATTTTTCAGAGATCATAGATGTCAAAAATGAAGAGTAATCAGCGGCTAAAATTTTTCGAATGGAACATTAATACGCAGAATCCTCGCCCTTTCCCATGTGTGAACCACTCATATATATATGACCATATATATATATAGTATATACTCACATCGATAAATTATATATATGTGAACGTAATTTATGACTATTTCGAGCGTCATTTATGGTGATTCTAGATATGATTTCCCTTTTAAATAGATTTAAAAAAGCGTGAATTACGTTCATATAAACATAATTTCCGTCAATTTCGAACGCATTTAACGAAGATTTTAACCGTAATTTACGCTAATTTTGGGCGTAATTCAGCATTATGAAAGCGTAAATTGCGTTCATATGAACGTAAATTATGCCGATTTTGTGTGTAATTTATGCATATGACGTGCTAAATTCCATTGAAGTAATAGTAATTTATGTGAATTTTGAGCTTACTTTAAGCTTTAACATAAATTTTAAATACGCTCAAGAAAGCGTGAAAGACGATTGCTTTTAAAGGTAATTTACGTTTATATTTTTCTATGTATAGGGTTGAAAAATAATGGGATATAAAATGAGTGTCAAAATATTGCACGCATATTTTCATATTTAATTATCTCCGCCCATCACCCATCCTCCCCCCTCCCCACTTTTCCACCAACAAGAAGGATTCAAAAATTTTCGCTCTTCACTCTCCCCCTGCTCTCCCCATCGCCATATTATGAGGGTCATAACATAATAGTAATGATAATCACGAAAATATAAGGGGATCAAAATAAAAGGGTTAAGCGATGAGGGTGAAAAAATTACATGTATATTATCATATATACACGTATGAAAATTTCATGTAGGGGTCACGGGGCCGTCATAGATAGGTGATCTAGGGGTCATGGAGGGGGGCAGTGCTTATATGCCCTCCCCTATATGGACCCCTTAGACCTTTCAGACCTCAGACCTTTAGACCCTCCAAACTCTCCAGATCAACAAAACTCTGCAAACCCTCCAGACCCTCGAGCTCTTTAAACCCTCCAGACCCTTAAATCCATTAGACCTTTAACAACCCTGAAAATTTGCAGGGTCTTGATTAGCAAAATTATCATATACAGAGATATAGGAAATCTTATAAAAAAACATACCTGAAAAATCCTATATAGATTTCCTATAGGAATTTTTCATATGGGTAACAATTTCCGCTCTTCACCCCCCCCCCCCC